CCTGGAAATCATCTGACAATTTCACGGCATCACGTTATGGATGGTTTAGCTATATTCAGCATAATTTGACTTTAAGAGAAGTCAGAAATATTTGTAAAATCTAAATATCACGTTCTTCAGATTACAATATATAGTAAATTCATACAAACGATTCATTCTTATAAATTGTTTGTATTGGAATTATTGATTTCTTTCATGATATATCTATTTTATTCTGATCGAAAATAATTATTTGTCTGACTTTTTGAATAACTATTTCAAATTTATCTATACCGCATATAGAGGTGATGAAATTAAATAGAGGTAAACATGTGTAGCATGGAGAATATATTCTGTCTTGTGTCGGCACTGATTAAATCATAAATCTTCTCTTGTATAATCGGTTTGGTTTGGTTTGCTTTGCTTTATTTTATTTTACTCCTTATCAATCTCAATGGGTCATTTAATGCTGACAAGATTTTTTAGGAGAGGTTCGTATGAAGAGGATATGTAGTCTTTGTAAGAAATTCGTTTGTAATCAGGTTTCATTGACGTATTTCTGTAAAGATTTGGGGGGGGGCGAGATTCAAATGTATAGATGGTAATATTTTTTTTCAATTGATGGTAAGTTTGCTATAAAACATTAATTTGTATACTTTACATAGTGTTTTGACCCCTAGTTGGGGGTTAAGTACTTGCTCATAGTTGGGACAAAAATAGGTACTACAACCCGGCTCATGGTTGACCTTGTAGCAACATTAATTAGAAGTAGATTCCACGCTTTTCAATGGCCTTACTGCTGGATGTAGTTCATCGTTATACCCAGGACGTTGTGTGACTGGCCTGCATACGGGACTGCGGTGTGAGACTACAGACGATATCTCCACACCAATATTAGGTTTTGAATTAATTTTTTTTTAATTTTTTAATAATTTTATCATTATGTACGTTGGCATAAAAACGTAGTATATATTATAAGAAAGGATATATTTTTAAAAAAATAGTTACTTTTAATATTGGCAAGATTCCATAACAGTAACCCGAAAAACTATACGCTTAGATAAGTTAGTGTCCCTTTTTAATTAATTTTAAAATGTGTTGTGGAGCCCGCGTGAAAAATAGGTATCCAATAAATGACAAACGCAAGTATTTAAGCTAAGAAATTAAATGTATTTACACAAAATACAAAAGGTAAAGCTGTTAGTAAAATCCAGGAACACGGTTAGTAGAAAATACAGATAGATATATACAGTCTCGAAGTAGGACTTCCTTAGAGTCTACGTGCTTGTAACTGACTTCTACAGGAGGTTACTTCACTCTATCCGACTACTGACACTCACAGACGACTCCAGTACGAATCCTCTTCTCTGCCGGACTGTGGCTATTTTCTGGTAGCAGGACGAATCAATAATATCCGAAAAGGGTGGACCCCATAACAAAATGATACATAAATTAATTTCTCAAACCAAAATAAAATAATGAATAATAATTTCATTAAAAAATTCAACAAGAACAACATTTAATCACATTCGTTTATTAGTCATTACATTATATCACTTAGCATCATCCACAATACATTACATCAGTTAGCGCCCTCCATAGTTTACCTTACCTTCCAAACTAGCCTGGGAATAGTTATGTACGTTCATATCGAAATTTTAGATTTAAATTTTGTAAAACCTAAAGATGTACTTATATATCTTAATAAAAACTTGTTGCGAAATTAAATCCTTGTATTTGCATTGTAAAAAACATCAGAGTACAAAACAAAAGATAAACTTTTCATTTATCTATCTATATTTCGCAGATGAAGTATTGTAATTATTTACAATATTTACTTTGTTCAGAATGTTGTCATCCTCTATATTGCCATACTTCAGGTGATTAGAATTTTGAACTGACACTTTTATATTGCCCATGGTAATAGATTGTTTTTGAACGTAACCAGTTACTGAACTCAGGTCACTTTGGGTCAACTCACTGGATCCAACCAACGATTTTATCCATAACGCTTTTAAAATCGTTTCTTGGATCCAGAGAATAGACCCAAACTGTTGTGAGTTCAATACTTGGGTGCTGCAGTGGTGAACAAAACTTGTAGAATTGAATTAAATGGAGGTAACGGAGTCACCCCTCGGAGGCATGGCACGTAGCATTAGAAAAATCTACCCCGGTGTACAAGATAAATGTTTCAGTTCGAAATTCTAATCAGCTGAAGAAGACTGGGGCGTATAACGGCGAAAACGTCGTGAATATGGCAATGAAGATAAAGACAACAGCACAATGTAAATAAACTCTTCATATATATATATATATATATATATATATATATATATATATATATATATATATATATATATATATATATATATTAAACAGAAGCTTAAACACTAGTATTCCATGGTCATAATTTATTCCATTGGAATCATAAATACGATCCATTCATCAGACCTACAAATTCAGGCCTGATGAATTGATCGTATACACGATTCCAATGGAATAAATTATGACCATGGAATACTAGTGTTTAAGCCTTTTTTTTATATCCTTACTCTGTTCTGGACATTGAGTTCTACCTGGACTCTATCCTCTTGGAATTTTATTTATACAAATGTATATGTATGTGTCTGTATTTATGTATATATATTTATAAATTTTGCATATGTTTGTGTATATTTACTAATATATATATATATATATATATATATATATATATATATATATATATATATATATATATATATACGGAAAATATAGTTTACGGTATTTTCTATTTATTAGTAAAAGTTCTCAATACCTGGAATAAAGCGTATGGAAATATAAAAGTTGACATTGAGGGCATCAACGAGAGGCGACGGTCTGTTTCATTCTTGAACGCAATTTGCAGCTCATTGAAGAGGCAGGGTGTTACCTCACATTGTTTCCCTCACTATCGACTTTCATTTTTGCATAGTCTCTCTCTGTCTCACACTATCTCTGTCGCTCTCTGTCTCTCTCTCTCTCGCTCTCTCTCTCTCTCTCTCTCTATATATATATATATATATATATATATATGTGTGTGTGTGTGTGTGTCTGTGTGTGTGTGACTGTATTCTTCTATTTTAAAGTTATTCCATTCACATTTTATTTATTTGTGTTATTTTTTTCCTTTCGTTATCCATACATTTTTGTCAGCCTTTTTATTGATTTAACTCATGCCTAACCAAATATAATTTCTTTAGCACAACTTTTTTTTCATTTCTCTTTCAACTTTTCACTTTTCTCTTATAATATAATATCGATTTCTGTGGATTCGTTTAGTTTTTTACGTTCGACTGTTTCCTGAACTTTCATGAACAAATCATAATGACAAACGAGTAGTTGAAACTCTAACAACCAGGTAACTTTTATCAACTTCTCTTCTGCATGCAACTCAGGCCACTTTTTCAGCTGTTACTTACAAAGTCGATAAAGTGTTATTTAATCCTAACGGAACGATTACTTCAAGTCAGCTCTTTTCGTTGTCTGCAAAGTGTTTCTTTCACATGTTTTTCCCAAACAAAATCTAACCTTGCTTATATGCTTTGCTCGTCTGATCTTTTAATTTTTTATAATATATTTTCATAAATATTCATGTTTATGGCCGAGTCCTTCTTTCTTTTTCGTTCTTTTTCTTTTTAGTTTTATTCTTTAAATGTTTTCAATTTGTGTCCATCTGATTTTTACATATTAAATAATTTACACATTAATTTTTCATCATATTTTCCATATTTTACAAATTAATTTTACAATTTTTTTATAGTTTATACCTAAATTATGCACGTTATTTTCCTATACTTTGTAATTTAAATTTATATCGTATTTTTCGTAATGATACACCTTCATTATAAACATTATTTTGATTTTACAATTTAATTTGTCATAATTTAACTGTTCATTTTACATTTAAATTTAACATAGTTCACATTGTAAATGTACAGATAAATGTTCATATTTCACAATTTAATCTCTACATATTTTACATTTGATCTTACACCTTATCTCGAAATATTCGACAATTTCATTTACTGCTAATCTTTATATTTTACGTGTCAGTTTTACTCCTTACTTTTACACGTTAAAATTCCTACTTATTTCTAAGTATTTTACACCATAACATGTTCTATTATTTTCAAATATATTACTATTAAATTTAGAAGATACTTGACGGTCTGAACTTTGATAATTTTGATCGTTTATCAATCATCAAAGCAACTTGAAGCAGCAGTTCACGAACATCAACGAAGTTAAGGAACGTCGAGTCTGGCCAGTAACTAGATGTGTGACCGTTTTGGAATACCAGGCGCTGTAAGCTTGTATGCGCGCCTAGTGTAGACAATAACGAATCTGAATTGGAAATTGCATATTAGAGTTGCGATTTCTGTCACCTTCATTATATTCACTCCCGGGCAAATAACCTTGAGAAACGGATGAATTAAACTGGTGCGTTCTGCATAACTATCTTCGTATGATAAATTACTCGACAGCGACTAAACATTTTAAAGTGAATTAACTTAAAGCACAAATATTATGAGACTACTCATATAATTAAATCTTTAAAAATTTAATTTAGAATACGTTCACAAAACTTGAGTGATTCCTGAGATCTGCTTAGGGGACATTTCTGTTTGTCGAATGCCTACAGATTCCACCTGTGGTTTATGCACTAACTTCGGTGAGTGGAACTTAGTTGCAGTTTAGTGGAGAGTAAGCGTAATCTGGCATGATCGGCTGTTTCAGCAATGACAGCACGATCATGCATTTGTTTATAATGGCTATAGACATAATACACAATCATTGCTGGTTTCTGATATAGTTCGGTCTACTGTATTTCACTCACAAGGTTTGTGTCAACGCGTGGTCTTGTTTTCAGGCATTTTATAAAAGATTTCCTCAATTAGGTATCACCATCCTAGACTAATAAGATCATGAGTTCACCATCCTGACAAATCAACCATGGTGTGATCCGAATCATATCGTATGAAATCAAAGGTTGCAACCACTTATTCATAGAACGATAGATAGATAGATAGATAGATAGATAGATAGATAGATAGATAGATAGATAGATAGATAGATAGATAATGAATACAAAAGATAATGAACACAGAGGAACAGATAGATAGATTTGGAACATGTGGACAGATAGATATATAGATAATGAATACGAATAGATTGAATAATAATGAACACAGATGGAGGGATAGATAGATTTTGAACATGTAGATAGATAGATAGATAGATAGATAGATAGATAGATTTAGACAGCAAGGTGTATGAATTTCAATCGACAGTTCTGCCTATTCTACTTATATATATTTTTCCAAACAATTACGACTGAGTATCGAGTTCGATAATGACTGACTGCTCCCTACTTGATGATTGTGTCGACTGAAAGCTACGCTTTGTCAATCACTTGCTGGGAGTTTAATTTTTTCGATTTTGTACCACATCATTATTGTCATATTCACAACGTTTCAGCCGTTGTACAATCCGGTCTTCTTCAGCTTGGAATTTCAAACCGAATCCTCTATTTCGTTCACGGTGTACATTTTTCTTTTTCGACTTTCCTGGATATCCCAGTTCCAGTTAATTCCTTTAGTAACTAACTATCCCAGTTTTGTACGCTTCTGTTATGGCGATGTATAAACTCTCAACTCTTTAGGTCAATCACTGTACTACTTCAAACAACACTGTTATCCACTTGTCTATGTGTCCTTGGGGACACGTATATCACCTGACGAAGGCCGGAGCGTACAGCGGCCGAAACGTCGCGAATATGACAATAAAGATGAGAACAATAGATTGAACAATGGAAACAGTGTAAATAATTTAATTCCGTTAATTTTATTAAACCATTCTGTAGAAGTCAAATGACTTACTTTCTAAAATGGCTGCCTCCGTGTGTCTCCTTGTAGAAAGGCAGGACAGCTAATCTACTTCATTTATACAGCAGGTGGAGTTGTCGACTGTACTAGAATTGAGCTTCCCAACACATTTGCATGAGTGGACACTATTCACCCATATATCTCTGCATTAAATCACTCAGTGTTCTTTTCCAACTTGAAGTGACTACAACAGTCTACCTGTGTGTCAGACCACTTACAACTTAACCAATATTCTACACATCCCCTTACTTAAATTCTATGATTTTCATCTTCTTGATCGTGCGCAAATAGCAGTTTCTGTCTGTGTTTACTTATATGTTTTAATATACAGAGTATATCTAAAAAAATAAAAAAAAAATATTGAGGGTTGCTTCCTCAAACTAAAACAAGGCCAAATGTCTATACGAATATATGTCTAAAACGTCGTCATTATAGTTCAACACAGCAAATCATTACAAATATTAAACAAAAATCCTTTTGCATCTAAAAACACACGCACCTGTCCGATCATTGTCTAACGGATCCTTTCAAAAGCTCCCACATGTCTGCTGCCTAAAACAATTGTTTTCGGTGGTCCCATGAATAGAAATACAATCTGTCATTGACTTTATATCTATTTTTGTCCTTGTTTTGGTGTGAGGAACCCACCCCAATATTTGTAAAGTATTTTAGATACACACCGTATACCAGCCAAATAACTATATATTCACTTTTATTTTTAGTCCCATATATTTTTTTTACAAAAAACGAATGTACGTAGAGAATTAACTATACCAGCAATATATATAAACATTTGTGCGCGTGTCTGTGCGCATTTTTTTTTTTTTAAATATCTAACAATTTTCTATTTCAATTCATTCATGAGCGACGTTCTTCTTTAAAATATAACAAAACAGCGAACTAAATTTGAACGCGTGTCTAATTACAGTCGGTTCGATATCTGTTCCATCTATCTCCAACTGCTGCAGAAACAATTAATTGAATCATGAAAATAACAAGTTAAACAATTTGAACAAAGTTTTGTCAATTTAACAACGAGTTCGAATTAATGTTATGGGCAGTTCCACTGATAATTAAAAAAAAATCATTGAAAGTGACACCTTAATTTAACTTTCATTCTGCCTTTAATTAGTGCTGAGATGGATTTTTTCATATTTTCCGGTGTTATTTCTGTTAGTTTAAAATCCTGTAGAAATAGGGATCCATTATTTAATCACATTAGGTTTTATGTATTATGTCAGTTTTTCGTTTTAGATTCTGTTTGATTAAATGCTGTATTTTCTTTTCAATAAATCCATTATTGGAAGACCCGCAACCCACGTTTAATTGCAAACGACTAGTCTTCTCTCTTATTAGTAAGGCTTTCACCTCATGTAAATTAATTCGAAATGTAACAGAAACGGGAAGAATAAAGAAATGCATCAGATTCTGTGAGATTAATGTGATTTTATAAAAGTCTGTTTGAGTGAAAGGGGATAGAGGGAAGGAGGGTGAATAGGAGAAATAAAAGCGAAACATAAAAAAAGTGCCAATAATTACAAGTTGATTGACAGAGCAATGGACAAGGGGAAGAGAAATCTGATATGGAAAATAAAAAGATTCAAAAGGGGGGCTGAGAAGAAAGCGTTTAAGGAAGATGTAAAATTGGTTGTAGAGGAGAGGTACATGTGAGAAAACATTGTGAACAAACAGCTGACTGGATTGAAGAAGAAGAAGAAGAAGAAGAAGAAGAAGAAGAAGAAGAAGAAGAAGAAGAAGAATTAAAATAAATGGAAAAAAGAAGAAGAAGAAAAGAAGAGAACAGCAGTAATAAGAAGAAAAGAAAAAAGCAAGGAAAAGAGGATTTGAAGCTGTTAGAAGAAGAGAATCACGAGAACCAGAAGAAGAAATGCCTATAGAAGAACATCATCAATAATTTATCAAGAAAAGGAAGAAGAAGAAGAAGAAGAAGACATGAAGAAAAGAAGAAGAAGCATAACTGAAGAAATACACAAGGAACTAAGAAGAAGAAGTTGTAAACTGACGAAGTGAATGCATATAAGTTGGAGAAATGATTAGCAAAATGAGGAGAAAAAAGAAATGAAGAAAACTAAAAGAAGAAGAAGAAGGGGAAGAAGAAGAAAAGAAGAAGACAAAACAAGATGAAAAAAAGAAAAATTTGAAAAGCAAAAAAAGTTGAACAAGGGAAGAGAGGAAGAAAAAGAAATAAAAAACGAAGTAAGGTCAGATTACAGAAGGGAACAGAAAATAAAGACACAATGATGATGATAAAGAAGAAGAAGAATGTCACTTAAAAAAGTGATGGGAAATGAAAAAAATGAGGAAAAATAATGTGAAAACTAAAGAAAAGAAAAAAACAAGATGAAAAAAAAAAGAAAAAATTTGAAAATGAAAGAGATGATGAAAAAGAAAAAAAACGAATTTGAAGGGAACATAAGGGTAAAAAAAGAAGAACTAAAAAGGAGAATATATGAAAAATATAGAGAAAGAAAGAAAATACAAAAAAAGAATGAAAGGAAATATACTTTTGAAGGATAATAATAAGAAATATGTAGATAGCGGAAAATTTTCAACTAGAAGTTTATAGGATAAATATTGATCAAATGTTCACTCACTTCTTATAACAGCGCCGTCGATACAGCTGCAAATTTAATGTCATTCGTGTTCCTTAAACTACGTTGTCTAACGCACAAGCCAGCGTACGAAAGAGGAACATTTACACCCAGAAATGTTATCACTTTTAGCAGGCACTTCCAGGAATTAATCATATCTACAAATCAATAGACACTCTTGTAGCTGTAGAAGAATTATTCTAAAGTATTTGTCTCACTTCAGGCAGAATAAAAGCAAGATTACACAGCAACGCCATTGTGTAATCATCCAAAACAGTTCAATGGTGCAATACTGATAGTTAAGCAACCCTATCCTACATGCCACCGTGGAATCCATCTCATGGGGAGCGCAAATGAAGAGAGATTATGATTTACATTCTCATATAAGAGACGGGTCTTTTCAGTTTCGTTGACTTCAATTTCCACTTGGCATAAACTTCAACATAATCGTAAAACACAATTCCCAAGGGAAAATAGAGCCAGTGGGCAGTACTCCAAGGATAGACATTTAACGTCTGGAAACTATTCTGTGAGATACATAAAAATGACATTGGCCGTAACATAAAGGCCCCAAAACTTTGGATATCCTGTCTGAGGTGTTGACATGACAATGATAAGCATAATAAATAGTTAAATATGACTGAATAGTTAATATTCGTCTAAATGGTTCAATTATGAATGTATTACGTATCTGATTCATTTAAACTTGGTGGAAATATTATTTTTGAAGGTAACTATAAAAAAAACAAACAAAAAAATTCTCTCCAAAAGGAATCAGAAATTTTAATACGCCAAATAGGCAATAATGGACGTTGTATGGCTACTTTTAATTTGGCAACATATTGACAATTTATAGTGATTACACAATCACTGACACACACACAAACACACACACACAAAACACACACACAAAACACACACACACACACACACACACACACACATATATATATATATATATATATATATATATATATATATATATATATATATAAACAGAAAGAAATATGCCTTTAGCATTGCGATTCGTCCTCTGAAGAAAATTCAACAAGATAAATGTGGAGATATTATTTTGTAACTTGTATTTGATTAAATTTGCCTGCATTTTTTCTTTTTTGTTATAAAATAATATTACCAGATTTAACTTCTTGTAGTTCCTCATTGGACAAAACGCGTTAGTAACAAATAGAATTCCATGTCTTCACTTTTTTACACCTCTTAATTCTCATTAATATAAGCGTTATTTCTATTAGTTACACGATTCTGACTTGCTATGCATGTTTTTTATTTGTTTGTTATTTTCTTAAATAGTGAAATTAATAACAACCAGACTAGATTGAGAAGTTCGACGAAAGAAATATTCTATATTCTACTGATTGTATTTTTCCCATCAGAGGAACGGTACATTTAACAGAGGTATGCCACCAGCAGTTGTGGCATGGAGAACACTTAACATGGAAAGCATTGAATTAACTATATATGAAAAGCAAATCTCTTGTGGGACTTCTCTGTGACACGCTTTGTCTAACAAAGCAGTTTTTCAGTGGAAGAAATGATATAGGTTCGATTCATTGACATTAGTTCAGTCTAAAAATTACAGATATCAATAGCAAACGTGAAATTTTGTATAAAGTATTTCCAATATATTTCAAAACTAATTATATATATATATATATATATATATATGTGTGTGTGTGTATATATATATATATATATATATATGTATGTATGTATGTATGTATGTATGTATGTATGTATCGTGTAACTCCAAAATTGTCCAATTATCAAATTAACACTTGAGCCGTTTGTATCTTACAAATGATTAAAGATACCTTAATTCTCCGAGGATTTTATAACACTAACGTCCCTGATTAAAAAATTCTTCACCGTTCTCTTGATGGTTCTTGAATGAACTATGAAGATGGAAGCCAGAATTTGAATGTTGCTACCATTATTGAAAGCCTGAATAATTTTTTTACTCTCACCATTTTGCAGTTGGGAAGACATAGGGGTACTAACACAAAATGATTTTTACCTGTTCTAATTCTAGTTGAAGAGCTCAACAGGTTTTCCAGGGATTCTTACTTCAATTCATGTCAAGATGGCTAAACGTCTTAACTGAAAACCTACTAAAATAAACTCAATTATTTTGATAGGTTTTTAGAAATAAAAGAAAATTGTGGGATGGAAAGTTATCCCATGCCCATGCTGTTACACGATTTCGACAATTTTTGAGTTACACCATATATATATATATATATATATATATATATATATATATATATATATATATATATATAAAAATACAAACAAAAAAATATCTAATAACAAACGAAATTATGCATTATGCATAGATTTTTGCTTGTTTATTCAGTATATTTTTTTCATACTGTCGGATCTATATCCATATATTTGTTTATATATATATATATATATATATATATATATATATATATATATATATATATATATATATATATATATTTCAGGTCAAAGTGCGTTCTATAGCCTTGAATGGCAACTGGTCTAGGAGAAGGACAACTCTGAATTCAAAACGGGCGGAGATTCTATTGGGGACCACGTGGCATGTAGCGCCAGGTCACTGTATTCGGCCCTTCAAAATGCGTGGATGGTTCTGCACAAAGCCTTCACCACTATAATCAAATCTCATGTGCTGGTGTCGGACTGTCGGTTCCTAGGACTGATCTGCTTGACCCTTATACGTCGAATTCTATGAGAGAATCGTATATATATATATATATATATATATATATATATATATATATATATATATATATAAACACATCATATATACACACACACACACATATATATATATATATATATATATATATATATAAAACATCGTTATTTCTTTTCTACATTAAAGTTTTAAAGTTTATTCGTAATTTTGTTTCAATTAATTTATTGTCTTGTTAATCTAGTAACTGATTGTCCATGTCACAGTGCTCTGGTAGATTTATTCATATTTTGTTTGGTCAGAAGTTACGAATTATGTGATTCCTAGCAATACATACAAACGCCTACGCATCGCTTGAGAGATCTGTCATATCGTTTCTCCAAGCGGAAATTCACAATCCCTGAACAGATATCTTGAAATGTAACTTAAAAGTTGCAGACTTTTCGCTTAGCGATTACGGTTCAACTATTCACCAATGTTCATAAAATCCCGTCCGCAGGCCTGGTCTCAAGTGTACGTATATTCATGAACTCTCTCTCGTGAACCTGCTCAAATACGCAGGCGCAACCGACCGGAAGTATTGAAGACCGGCCACAGGAAAGACAGCAGAATTTGCTAACATGTTTGATAGCCATTCACCAATCGCCAACCAATCGGTTTCGTCTCTTGCTATTCCTTAAGCACAAACAGAATAATAATTCTTGCATCTCATGTGGGACTCGAGATTTCACCGGAAGGCCACGTTCTCACACTTCACTACTTCTTAATTTACTGATTCGTTTAAGTGTCTTCTGTTGATTGGTGATGTAGAAAAACTGAAAAACTTACTTTGGAATACAACGAGGTAAACATATCTCTACACTATCAGCTGGCAAAATAAATCATGAGTCATACTTTTATTGACCTATAAGGAAAAGAAACGTCACTTCCGTACAAGAAAATCTTTTTATACATGTTTTCGTGTGCAGTTGATCTTGTTCTTGCTTGTGTGCGTAAGACTGCGAGACTGAATTAACTATTTATTTGATGTAACATCGTTTAGTGCAACATTTAATCTCGAATATATCAGTAGATGCTGAACGATCACTTCACATAAGAAACCAGAATCAAGAAAGATGTGGTTCTACTGACGAATACCATAAACATTTGAATAATATGTGATCGATTGCTTGATTAGGATTTTGCGGGTTCTCAAATATTTTCAAGTTATTTAAAGCTAGAAAATATTTTTATATTGTAAGAAATATTTTAGAAATAATAATGCGTTAGTTATACATGTCTTACTAATGTACAGCTAAGAGAAAGAAAGATGGATTCATACATTTCCCAAGAGTATTTCCGCGTAAGTGAATGTGGCAACCTCAACGGGAACTGGAACTCGGCTCTACTATTGACAATTGCTAGCCGGTATACATTCACCACGCTCACATCCAAGCGTACAGCAACTGGCATTCCAAAGTATCCATCCATTTTTATATTCACTAGGCTCGACGTTTCTTAACTTCGATGATATTAGAGGCTGAGGAATGTAAAAATTATTTATGAAAAATTGAAATATTCAAAAATTAAAATACATTTTTACTCAATAAAGAAAATGTGCTAGAATGTTCAATAATTGAAAACGGCTGAATATGTGTGGAAAAAATCGGAAGTCAAAATCACTTCAATTGAAAGAAAACAAGAAATAGTGAGAAATAGTTAAAAAAACAAAAACAAAACAATAACAATAGGAGTGAGAGTAATGTGAGAGAAACTAGTGAAAGAACTAACAACAAGATTCTTCCCGTGCGCACATAGCGTCCAGGAGATTCCGAAGTCGTCTTGAAGAGGTGGATGTTATATATATATATATATATATATATATATATATATATATATATATAAATAAAAATTCCATGTGTGTGTGATTCTGTGTGTATGTGTGTGGTTGTGTGTATGAGGGTATCCCAAGAATATAGTCCTTCTTCAAATGGCAAGAAATTTAGTGTTTCTTCAGTGCCAACTGGATCAATGTGTAAAATTTTAAAAAACGATTCAACTTTATTGATAAAGAAGATTGATGGTTTAAATTGAATATTGAATGAAATTAAATACATGGAAATGTAAAAAGAAACGCAATATCAAGAATTTATAGCATGCCAAAAAGCATGTTTATATATATATATATATATATATATATATATATATATATATATATATATATACAGATATATAATATACTGTTTTCGCTGTATGTAAGATCATCTATGCGACTAGACATCCGAATGCCTCAACCCACGACCGAAACCGACTGACTTGGGGTTAGTCAGATTTCCTAACATTAAACCACTCAGCGGAGAGAAACGGATAATTCTCGCGTATTGTTTTTACGAATGGAAACAAAGCCGATCAATCAGAGTACTCCAATTTTTTTTAGTGAAGAGTTTTGCATATATATATATATATATATATATATATATATATATCAAGAACCTTTATGACACCCACATACAACAAGGGACCAGATAATGTGTAGAACAATGATCGCTCAATGAATGAGGGGAACATGTCCAAATTGACAAAAAATATTTTAAACAACATTTGAAATCTTTGTCATAGGAAAGAGAGCAATGACAACATTGCTTAAGTTTTCCTCTGAAATGGTGTGGAAAAATTATATTGAATAAATTTCTAGATCTGCAGGTCGAAAAAGTAGGTTCAATGTATCGTGCTTGACAATTCTTCTCGCTAAAATAAACTTACATATTTATAAATCTCCCATTAGTCCTTTCTTTTCATGATTCCTGCCACATCCGAGTTCATGCTCCTGCTATATATTTTATAATTCTTGATAAAACCCAAAGAAGAATCTACAGTATTATTGTTCCAGACCAGGAATTTCCCGATTTGTCTTGAATCGTCAGATCAATAGACAAATATAAATAATTATATAGTTTAATAACTGAATGTAGCATCTATTCAAATATGAGTATTCACAAAAATTAACGTTTGAAATTATATATATATACATGTGTGTGTGTGTATATATATACATACACACACACACACACACACACACACATATATATATATATATATATATATATATATATATATATATATATATATATATATGCAGATAGCGCCATATTTTATAGCTGCATCTCGAAACATTATAGATGATCAAGTCATATCAGATGATATATTCGCTGATCTAGATGTAACAGCTCAATGCCGAAAAAATTGCTTTAAATATTTATCACATCCAAAATCAAGTTAATGACGTTCCATCAGGTACTGAGTATTCTCCATTCATGATATATTGTATTCGAAATGAGGTTATTTACGTTGAACATCTGTTGATATTCAATTTCAACCCTGCACATCAAGCGGAATTCATATAAAGGCCCATCGCTTATGACGCAATAAATGTTTAATTCCGTTTGCCACCCTAGAAAGTATATCTCTCCTCTTTCTTTGATCTATCTTTGCAATCCAAAAAATCAATATAGAGTATTGATGCATTTCTTAACTCGAGATGTCCAATGCATTCTTTCCAAACATGAGAGAGTATAAAATCGTCTACGTGGCGTTGTAAGCGAATAATTATTTTCAAACCTACACTTCTTTTCCTAAAGGCGAAACGTCAACAGCCTATTGATACACCATCGCAATTATAATGACAGATATTCAGATGAGATATATTTCTTAGTTCCACCAGCTCAGACATTCATTGCTACGACCCGCCATTCAAACGTACACTGGAGCGAAACAAACTAATTGCCTCTGCCTTCCAGTGGTAAGGAAGAAGTTCCATGCAGTTTATTCCCTAGAAAATTTATTTTGTCTTCAGGGAGGCTGCTTCGCCGGTAAGGTTGCAACCTTAACTTCTATAAGGTTAGGATCAATTGTTATCCTTAACAAGATTATAATCCTCACTTATTTTATTCTCCTAATAGTATATAATAACCACATTCAGTTTCATCACTCTGCCTTGGATAGCATTGTTCGAACAGTAATAAAATTTACAATTATTGTGGCAGCGGAGTGAAAATAATATTTTCCTTTAGATTAAGTAAATGCTTATATATAAAAAAATATTATATTTTATGCGCACATAGAAACGCTAGGTATATATATATATATATATATATATATATATATATATATATATATATATATATATATATATATATATACATTCAAAGAAATAATCACACATAGAATCAATCAGAAATATTAATGCGATTATTGGCGACATCCATCGCTAGTAGTATAATGTATGCATTAAAATACTGTTAATACATAGAGCGAAGTGATCCTCGCATATAAAATTGATGTCTGTTGTTTTCAGTTTATGTGTTCTTAAAATGCTAGTACTTACGAATAGTCTTCTATTCATCATCAGGCATGTGTTGTTTTTTTCCTTATAAATTCAAAAACTTGAAGACGAAATAATTGTTTGTCGACCGAAAGATGTTTTTTTAATATCTGCTATTATTGACGGTTGTGTACGATCTCGGAACGTGTAAAGACGCAACGCTAAGTTTTTCAAAATTTTAAGTGAGAATTCTATTTAAATATTTCTTGTGATGTGTTAAATTCACGTATTCTATTTTTACAAGTGTATTCAGTTAATATGTCATGAACTAAGCATATAGTTCAATAATATAGTGTAATGACATAGTAGTAGTTTTTTTTTTATAGGAATTTTCATGTACTGCGTATCGATAGTTTTTTATAAACATAAAACATTAGGCAGCATATAATTTACATTCAAAGAAATAATCACACATAGAATCATATATATATATATATATATATATATATATATATATATAAATATATATATATATATATATATATATATATATATATATATATATATATATATATATATATATATATATAAACTTGTAGCCTCTGTCTGTATGTTGTTTGTAATCAAAATATTCTTCGGATTTTAGAGATAGTCCCCATATGCATAGATATTCTGAAACTACATATACCAGTGCACTTGGCTAAGTATATTGCATTTTGCTGAAGGTGAGGCCCCGGAGAGGAATCCTTCACTGAATCTTTTCTTTTAATGTAAAACTAATTTAAATTCGAACAAAGAAATGGCTTCTATCCAAAATATACAAGAAGGAAACCAGAAAATTAAGGTCAAATCAGCAAGATCATTTTGCTCAGATAGGGTCTTCAGAGGACATAGCTCTCTCCCACTAAATTTTTATCCTTTTGATTTAAATTAAATTTGAATTTGAAATAGTGAATAACTCCGAGATTACTTGAAGAAGTATATCTCACTTTGATCAACGGGGGTCACCTGAAGACTCAAAACCTCCACTTAATTTTTATCATTGATTGAAATTAAATTTAAATTTGAAGAATTTAACTTCTATCGAATGTAGAGAAGCTGAAAACCAGAATAGGGAGGTCATATCGCCAAGATCAAAATTAGACTATATGGACATTAAGTTGAGCAAGAAATGATGAATCAGTGGATAGTGCCTTACAATATATATTTGTTGCAACAATTCAGATGTCATAGCAATGTTGAAATCTGCTCGTCAATTCATTCAACGAAGTATTGCATCAAATACATATATAGATAAAGATATGTTTGCACAAATCCCCACTGAGTTTTTTCCATTATATTACAAAAATGTAATTCGGATATATATATATATATATATATATATATATATATATATATATATATATATATATATATATATATAGGAGAGAGAGAAAGAGAGAGAAAATAGGAGAGAGAAAGAGGATGTATCAAAATAATTTTACACGCTTTGTGGGCGGGTTTCTGTCACCAAAATAAGGACATAATTGAAGTTAAACATGTGTCCAAAAGGCCATCATACCTCAAGGAACCATTACATACAGATTTTCAAAATGACCTCTGCTTGCTTCTACACACGCATGAGCCGGTCGAATTATTGACCGCTAGACCGTTTCAAATTTTCCCACACGGCCTCGAATGGATTCGCAGGCCCTTCTGACACTATGATCATTCGTTTCTGCATTATTAATATCTGCTGATTTTTTTAGGTGACCTCACCGATAAAAATCCAATGTTTTGAGGTCAGCAGAACGTGCAAAACTAGAATCTGTCCTCTCCTTCTTATCCATCTTTCATGGTAGATGTCAGCTAGTGCATGCCGAAAGATGTAACTAAAATATACTGGAACCATATGTGTCTTCGTATTAACAGAAGTAAATACTCTAGCAAGTCTGGAAATGTTTTCGAAAAAATCCCTGTAGACAGCTCCGATCAGACTTGCTGGGATAACATATGTGCCTACTAGACACTCACCTACAATCCCAGGCCACACATTAATCGTAAATTGATGCTGTTGTCTAGCCTATATTGTAGCATAGAGATTCCGAGCCGCCCACAAATGTTGGTTATGCAAATTAGTTATTCCTTTTCTTCTAAATGTCGCCTCATCCGTAAACAAGACTAAAGTGACAACAACGGCTTGACAGTTTGTTCAGTAAACCAATGGCAATTTTTTTCCCGTGGTGACTGATCAGAGGGCGAAAGGCCCTGCACAAGATACGATTACAGGAGCTGCTCTTAAAGTAACCTCCATGCAGTACTATGAGATGTACAATATGGTAGGGCCACTTGCTGATATATGGATCGTATCCGACAGCCTGTAATATGTGGTCTTTGTGGTCAGACGTACGCGCGGATTTTGATCCACCTCGATGCATAGGTTGCGTTACCACAGATCTTGTCTCAGAAAAACGACGACAAACAGCAGCAAAGTTTGGGTGATACGGCAGCCTTCGGTCTGCAAACGTAATCCGATACCACCGCGCAGCCTAGTGAGCATTACCATTAACGCAGCGGAATGTAAAAATCCTATCTGCCTGCACACGATATGAATATCCTGTCATTGTTAAACGGAACACTTCCGAATTATCTCACTAAATCGTTAAACGTTGAAGACAAACAAGCCACAAATTTACACACATAACAAACGTAACGTAGTCAACATCTAGTTTACACAGCGCCATCTCACGTCAACTTTCTTTAAACGTAATAACTAAAAACGAAAGATTTGCGGATATATTTTAATGTGGACTTTTGACCTACACCCAAAGTTTGTAAAGGGATTTTTGTAACACGCTCTAGATATTTATATGACACTGATTTAATAAAAATTATTCATGTAACTACTGTCCTGAACCATAAATAGATAGTGTTCAATAATTATCATTACAAAGTTTTTGTACTTATTTATTAAAGAAAAAGACATTTAACGTTTTACAAATCAGAAACAAAAAATAAATGTACATAAAATTATTTGATGCACTATTCAATATGCACTCCTGATCAAGAACCTTCGTGAATGAACCGCATATTGCATAGATAAAATGTTTTTTTTTTCCATTTCTTCAAGAGATTTGTCTTTAGAGACTCCGAACTCTAAAGGACTTTTGGAAAATCCTTATTTTCTAAGATACTCCAGCTGCTGCAGTCAGGAGTTTTCGGGTCTGCTAGTGATGGAGACCATTCTTCATTCGAGATAAATTGATAGGCGTCGGTTTTTGAGTTCTTTGAGCCACATGAGAAGGTGCTGAATCTTGTTGGACTGACCAATATCGGGTTTTGAAATGTGCTGTGTGTGATTTAAGCCAAGACAACATCGATGAGTAAAGAATGCCGTTTACGAAATTTTCTCGGTTTGGTTTAAACTCTTATTCCACAAATCCAGTGGCTTGTTAACTGTCGTAGTTACAGTGGTTCACACAATGTATGAGGCCGCTGCTTGCCTTTGAATAACTGCATGCATTTGTCTCCAATTTCAGACAAAATCCGATCTTTCTGTCTGTTCAGAATACAATGTTCAGGAGGGAGCCTGCCAGACTGCCCTTAAGAAGGACTTGGCATCTAGATTGTTGTTTCTTCACAGAGCTGTGAGATAACAACGGTTACTTTTATTTTTGCAAGGAGATATATTAAGATCATTATGGTGAATGCTTGACATAGTTCCGTTCGGCCCCTTCGCTCCTCTTCAAGATTTCTGAGAAAACACTTGATGTGGATCTCTTCTCAGATTCTCTTGGGTTGATTGGACGAGCAGTGGTGTTCGTGCAGTTCAAGGATGACCGTGTTCTTGAATGTCATTCACATTCCTATTCTCGTTGAATCTTTTGTTGGTCCAGCAAACGAACATTCCCTTCACCTTTGATGATTTGGCAATATCCACCCGAGAGTGCTTCGCTTTGTACATTTCTAAAATGACGATTTGTTTTACTTAAATTTTATCCATTTCCAAATCTAATACCTGAATCTAATAACTGATAAAATATAGATTAGTTCTATAAAACAAATCGGATAGCATCTCAGTGTATGATATTCTTTAAGTTAAATTAAAACAGTAAAATCAACACCTTTTGTAATTGAAGTAATATTCCTATTTTCTTTTATTTATGGAAAGATTAAATTGTTTTAGTTAATGCAGATATCTACCTCTCTATCTCTCTCTCTCTCTCTATATATATATATATATATATATATATATATATATATATATATATATATATATGTGTGTGTGTGTGTGTGTGTGTGTGTGTAAGAGACACATACAACAATGATCAGATGCTTGAGAGAAGAAAAAACATGAAACAATTTGAACATACGATTTCGTTACATACATATTAACATTAAACTTAAGTTTAACTCCAATGGGTTATCAATTCATACCCAGTAAATAATTATAAAGCTTGCAATATTTCTTATTTACCTTTTATATTACCTGAAAAAAAGAGCTGGGCCAATATATTGCAACGATCCGCGTATTTTACCATCACTATTATATATATATATATATATATATATATATATATATATATATATATATATATACACAAAATCACGCTTATCAATGGAGGTGTCCTTGATTGTAAACCGCTTTGTCAAATACTTCTATGACGGTTATAACATCCGTACCTAACCTGCGCCCTTATACCGTATTCGTTTTGTGTTCAAATCTATTCATTATCCATTGCGATCCAATCTGCACAATATATTGAACAAAATCAATAGAGGTGGAAATGCTTTCTTCAAAATTGTTATTATTGAAAAAACCGATCCATGTATATAGGTTAAATCTTTTTGGTAACTATCTATATATAATGCCCTCCTTGTTAAAATCCAAACACAATCTTTTATATTGGTCCTGTTCTGGCGTCTCATTTTTAGTAATACAAAAGTTGCCTCCCTGTTAAATTTCTATAAATATTTTCCTGGTAATTGTTCAGATGAAATCTTCGCTATGGTAGCTAAACTTATTTTTTTTAATTTTAGCGTTGTACTAGACTGGCGACGAGTTCTCATCGATTTACAGTTGTGGTCGACAGTGGTAACCGTAATTTCTATGCCAACACTTTCTTTTCTCGGACATTATACTTGTGGAACTACCTTCCGGCTCCATGATTTCCAGCTAATTTTAATGTTCAAAAAGGTAAACGCAAAGTACATCCCCAACTACTATTTCTACGGATAACATTTCTTTTGTTCTCGCCACTTTGCAGAGTTTCTGTTTTCTAATTCTCCACACGAAATAACACATTATGTTTTAGCGGCTATACAGGCCTTGATTGAGTTGAAAAAATGTTTAAAATATTTGGTAGCAAATATGTATATATATATATATATATATATATATATATATATATATATATATATATATATATATATTCAACAATGATATAAAAATACAAAATGAAGTCTATTCTTTATCCGCGCGTTTTGCCTGCAGATTGATTTTAGCAAGGCAAAACTTCTCGGTAAAAAGTCATTTTATTTCATTAATATATATATATATATATATATATATATATATATATATATATATATATATATATATATGAATGAAAATTTTGTATATATATATATATGTGTGTGTGTGTATACATACATATATATGTGTGTGTGTGTGTGCGTATGTATGTGTATGTGTGTGAGGCAAAGTACTCATTTTTGACCTCAGTATCATATTACTGCAGCAAGTCAACCCCTGTTGCAGACTGAGCGTGCCTTAGGTTCTGGGAGAGAACGCATAACCTGGCGGGATGAATAATTTGAACAGGGGAATTTCACTCAAAACCCTCTGTAACGATTACATGTTAATTGCTTCGAGCGCATTTATTAACAACGTCTGAAAGATTTGGTCTATTTTATTTCCATCTTAAGGCTGATTGCAACGCGTAGTTCAGGTTTCAGTCATTTTCCAGTGAGTTTTCACAGTGGGATCGCGTCCCGGAAATTGAGTAAATCGAGACAGACAAATAGATAGATAGATAGATAGATAGATAGATAGATAGATAGATAGATAGATAGATAGATAAACCCCGATCTCGTAAAATATTCGTTTCATTCTTAAACAATGTAACAAGCAGGAAACCCTTTTCATCTGTCTTCATCATTCCAGTTTCATCCTCCAACCCGACCAACTCTCTTATCATACGCAACATTTAAGCTTACAAATTCATATTAATCCCATTTCTCGCAAATGCAATACAGCTGGTATATATCAGTGACTCGGCATTATGTGTTGTTTTCAAACACACAATAGGCAAACAACAAAATATGATATTATTAATAATAATAATTTAATTAACTCGCAGATATAATCAATAATATAATTTATTTTCAACTATATTCGTTCGTGTTTTTTACTTAATTGCATTATCTTCCAGCTGTGCCGTGCGTGGCTGTGAGGCTGGTGGTTTTCTGTTTTGAGATATTGTTTAAAGTTTATCGGAAAATATCTAAACGAAGAATTTTGAGCCGAAAGCTGATTCTGGGTGAAAACACAGGTTTGATGTTTGAGAAATAAACAAAATGGTTCGGGGTTAAGCAGAATACGGTCAAAAGTTTAGAAAATTAGAGAGAGGAGTTCAATAATATTTAATTAATTAGGCCTACTAGACAAAATAACACAGAAACATACATACATATACACATATACGCACCAATAAATGTACACATATATGTATACATCTTTGAATATACGTATATGATGACAAATATATAATCGAATAAGAACAATGTAAAAAAAAGTATCAGATTGTTTTGTTTACTAATTTCTCATTAGCTAGTTAGAGAATGTGGCAGCATAGACGTTATAGATAATAACGTATACATACACAAATAAAGAAAGTTGAAGGAAGACAATATAGCCTCATACATGGCCCAAACCAGCTGCCCATCTTCTTGAGAAAACCATCATCCGATCGCAGAAAGAGGGAAGCAATTTCGAGATATAAAATAATGTTGATGAAGATACCATTAAGTCTCTCAAATGTGCATGCCGGCAGACGTAATATATATATATATATATATATATATATATATATATATATATATGTCTACCAAACTATAGGATGTTACAGCGAAACAGTCTGACTGTGATTGGCTATATATATATATATATATATATATATATATATATATATATATATATATATATATATATATATATATATATATATATATATATATATATATATATATATATGTTAGTGTAATCAGTGGTACATTGTAGATATAAATACGTAAAACTCTATTAGTAAAAATGAAATGGTATGTATATGACTGTTTGGACCACGGAGATTTCTACGTTGCTTCATTTACAAATCTCCTCCCGACACTCACTTGCTTTCTGTCTCATTCTGTCTCTCTAATAATGAATTCCAATCTCCTTAACACCACACACCCCGTCTTAAACACTATTTTTTTTCAAAATCCTGTAACAGCAAAATTGCCCAATTATCCTATTAAGATTTGAACCGTTATATCATAGAAAGGATTAAAGATATCTTACTGGAATTCCCCGAGGATTTCATAACAGTATCTGACTCTGAGTAACAACAATATATAATTACTCCCCAAGCTTAATGGATGGTGACGAAATCGATCATATCTGAAAACCTGGAAATAAGAACTTCAAAATGATTAGTGTTTTTCATATATTAAGCATTATGGGATGGGTCATAATGCAATTACTCGATTTGGACAAATTTGATGTTACACCCGGTATCTCTCTCTCTCTCTCTCTCTCTATTTTATATATATATATATATATATATATATATATATATATATATATATATATATATATATATATATATATATATATATATATATATATATATATATATATATTTATATTTATATTTATACGTTTCATTAAATAATATAGACAAGTGTTGTCTATTTATTTTATGTAAAATTTGTTCGTAACTTCTGATAAGTTTGATAACATTATCATTAAACGAAGAAAGAAATTCACAATATTGATCCATATTTTTTAATATAATCTAAGCTTTCGGCTTACTTAAGCCATTATCAAAGATGTAAATCACAAACATATTAAACAATATACGGACACGACAGTGATGATAGTCTGTCATTGTTTACATAGTGGATCACTAAGCAACGATAAACACGCGCATATAAGACGCTAGAAGCGAAAATCGCACCGCATCTCATGACGTCACACATGACTACACGAGAGTGAATTGTAGAATGAAATATATTGTTATTCGCAGATAGTACTGTTTCGCTCTATCACAGATCTTCAGTGCGACTAGACATGCGAATGCTTCAAGCCAGGATCGAAACCCAACTGATTTTTTGTTAGTCAGAGCTACTACACTCGGTTGAGTTACACAGTTAAATCTAGCGTAGTTTGTGTGTAGTGTGAAAAATTGATAGATATATTGCTCAAACAATGATGTAGATCTGTTTCTTACAGTATATTTGATATCGTTACTTTGTTTTCCCTAGAAATGCTTTTACCTCTCTATCTCTATATACAGGTTATCAGTCTTGCAAAATCTGTCATAACAATTCCTTATTTCAGTCTTTTAATTTTGCTTGTTTTAACAGTAGTTTGCTCTTTTAAAAAAATATCCTAACTCTATTTAACTATATATATATATATATATATATATATCATAGCATATTTACGGCATGCCTGAAAAACCAACCCAAACAACTCCTTCATAATTCCCATTGTTTACTCAGAAATACTTATTTTGGATTCATGTTTTCGAAAGAAATCGCAGATTTTTTAAAAATTTTTTTTTATTTGATTTTTCTTAGATAAAAACAAAGAATAACGATTTGCCTTCATTTCTTCAATTCCTTTTTCACCACTTTACAATTTTAGTTCTTTCAAGTCTGTTTTATTTATTTATTGTTTCTCTATTTCGATAGCATTTTCAAGAAAAAAAAATCATCCCATAGGCATTACAAACACAAACACTATGATTATTGTAATCATTATCATCATTGTAACTATAATCAAAATACTTCCGGGGAATATTATTGTATTATTCTTTGTCAATTCTACTATTTGTTTTTTGAAATTTCTCATCATTATTTCTCTTATTTTCCCATCATAAATGGTCTTTTTTTTTATTTTAGTGGCAATATTACCGCTATTCAAAGTTTATTTCTGATATCTCAATATGTTCATTATCTATCTATCTATCTATCTATCTATCTATCTATCTATCTATCTATCTATCTATGTCTGTCTTTTCATACCTATCTATGCCTGTCTATCTATCTTGGTTGAGTTATTTCCTGACTTTCTTGAAACTCATCTCTAAATAAAGACACGCTTATTTTGCCAATCATTCGTTGGGTGGCGTGTCTTAATCTTCATGTTAGCTTCCTTGTGATCATTTTAATGACGGGATTTTTGTTTGCCAAATATTCATAATTTATTTGCAGATTACAGGTCCTGGGATGTGAAATATTAGATATCGAACAACTTAGGGAGTATAAAGTATCTATTCGTATTGAGAAAAAAAAAAACAACAAAAAACAGATGATGTAGATTTTTCATACAATCTCCTTTCAGTATATAAGCGTTTATGACTCTCCAGTAGCACATTTGTTTATGATCACACCAATCGATTCCACACTGCGGTTGATATTGGTTACTCTAGTCTTACACCACTAATAAAGTGTCCATTAAACAAGACTATGGCCAAGGACCGTTTAAGTTTCTGGGGCATCTAATCTGGGAAGAGGACTTGGATAATTTGGGATTCACAGAATAGATTGAATTTAAGAGCGCCAGAAGAAAGCAATATACATGTTACCTGGCGACCTTGAACGAATGGATGGCGGATAAGATTTTGTGCGAGATTGCAAAATGACAAAACTTAAAAAGGGCAACGAAGGACAGGACCTCACAATGTTAGCGTTAGCGCCGTTAAAGGATGAGGCAAAGAAGAAGAAGAAGAAGAAGAAGAAGAAGAAGAAGAAGTAGTAAGAGGATGAGGAGGAGGATGAAAAGAAGTAGTAGTAGTAGGCGGAGTAAAAGAAGAAGAACGAAGAGGAGGAGAAGAAGAAAAGGAGAAGGAGGAGCAAAAGAAGAAGTAGTAGTAGTAGTAGTAGTGGTGGTGGTGGTAGTAGTAGTATGAGGAGGAGGATGAAAAGAAGTAGTAGTAGTAGGCGGAGTAAAAGAAGAACGAAGAGGAGGAGAAGAAGAAAAGGAGGAGGAGAAGAAGAAGAAGAAGAAGAAGAAGAAGAAGAAGAAGAAGAAGAAGAAGAAGAAGAAAATATAAGGAGTAAGGAATTAACGGTTTTATTTTTAATAATTTTTTCCTATTATTCTAAATGTTATTTTTTAGTTTGAGCGGACGCCCTGAAAATTACGTCTGTCGGCATGCGCATTTGAGAGAGTTAATGTTCTCTGCGACACCATGATAGAGGGGGCATTATCTTATATCTCAAAATTTCCTCCCTCTTTTATGTCTGAGCATATATTTCTTACTTTAACTCTCTTTATTTGTGTATGTTTATTAACAAGGTAATGACTCCTACCTAAAACATAGAAGAAAGCCAGAAGACGGAGGTCACATTGGCAATATCATTGATTAATAATGAAATGCATCATTTTTCTCCACAAATTAGTCATCTTTTCCTTACAAAAAATATGTGTGACGGGCTGCAAGACATTAGTAAATCGGCTTGTCATTGTATAAATTACGAAACGTTAATGCTTAAGGAAAAATAGTAACATTTGATAAGATGAAGCGCAATTATATACGCTTCTTACGGTTTGAAAAACTAAATCTGTTTTTGGAAGGGTATTAGAATAATCCAGAAGCAATACAGAGAGTAAACCGCCTGATTGGCGTTAACTTATAATGGACCGGAAACGATGCTAATATATGAGAACATAATTTTATATTTCCTATTTATTTGTCCTCATTCCTTTTACATTTAATCTTTTTCGCTCGCACTAATGTCTATATTACAGGAGCCTAAGAGTTATCGCTTGCGTGTATGATCACACTTGGGGAAGTGATGAAATTATTGGGACTCTTAGAGCCGATATTCAATAAGTGCGTGTGTCAATGTGTAACATGCTTGATGGAGAAAGTCATTTTTCTCTTTCGTTTTTTAGAAAAATGTTACGATTCCCATAAAAAAAGCTTCTCGTTTCTTT